GGGAAGATGTTGCCATGTACCCTAGGAGTGAGGCAGGGATCATGGTAAGTCAGGAAGCCTGCTTTCTCTCCCACATGAAAACTACTGCTGTAAAACACTGACCATGGCTAAGGAGAGGTAGAAGCCAGTGTGGACCGGAGGTGGCCAGACTGGAGGCAGGAGGATAGGGAGGAAGCTGTGGCAAGAAAGTTCCCAGGCTCCACCCCAATCTGAAGTAATGCTTACTCCTATGTAAGAGGTTGAATTAAGTCACGATAGGGAGACGGCTCAGCAGGTCGAAGCTCTAGCCACGTGAGCACACCACAGCCTTTGTGTGGAGGTCAGAGAACAACTTTCTCGGTCCCCAGAACCCACATAAAAAGTCCAGTGCTGCTGGGCAGTGGTGGCGCACGCCTTGAATCCCAGCAGTTAGGAGGCAGAGGCAGGCAGATCTCTCTGAGTTCAAGGCCAGCCTGGTTTATAGGGTGAGTTCCAGGACAGTCAGGGCTACACAGAGAAACCCTGTCTCAAAAAACAAAACAAACAGAAAAAGCCAAGTGCAGCTGTGCGTATCTGTAACCTTGTCATTTCAAGGCAAGACTGGAGGCAGAGACACAATTTCCCAGGAGCTTTCAGGCCAGCTAGCCGGGAAAGCACACCACAGCAGCAGAAACACAAGAGGCCCTAGCTTAGCAAGATGCAGGGCGAGAACTGACTTCCACCCCAAACTGTGTAGTGCACCTGCACTCTCTCACACATAGTAAGTGAGTAAGTAAGTAAGCAAGTAAGTAAGTAAATAAATAAATAAATAAATAAATTCTTTTGAGACAGCGTCATACTCCAAGGCTAGCCTAACCCACCTCACAGAGAGAGATACACCTGCCTTTGCCTCACAACTGCTGGGATTAAAGGTGTGTCCCAGCATGCTGGGCACAAATAAATGTTTTTAAAGTAGAAATAAAGCTAATGAGAAGGCTCAGCTGGTAAAGATGAGCCATGAAACCCAGCAATCTGAGTTCTATGGACTCCGTAAGTTGTCCTCTGACCTCCACACACATGCCATGGCAGGCACACTCATGTACACACACGCACAATAATAAATAAAATAAAGGGTAGGGAGATGGCTCAGCAGTTTAGAGTCCTGGCTATGCTTCTAGGGGACCTGAGTTCCTTTCCTGATACCTAATTGGCAGCTCAGACTATCTGTTAACTCCAGTTCCAGAGGATCCAGTGCCCTCTTCTGGCTTCCTCTGGTATTGCATGCATGTGGTGTACAGACATACTTGCAGGCAAAAACATCCCTACACTCAAAAATTAAAAAAAAAAAAAAATTTAAAGTGAAAATGATAAAGGAAAACAGATCCTCTGAAGTTGTCCTTACCCCAATGCGAGCAGTGTTAGACACTTTTCCCGTGTCCACACCTATAGCTACTAGAAAAAAAAAAACATGGAAAGGATTAAGGGTTCCCCAGTGGTGCTGCGGAACTGAACACATTAAAATAAGTGCTCTGCTAGGCCATGGTGGTGTACTCCTTTAATCCCAGTACTCGGGAAGCAGAGCCAGGCAGATTTCTAAGTTTCTGGTCTACAGAGTGAGTTCCAGGACAGCCAGGACTACACAGAGAAGCCTTGTATCAAAAACAAAAACAAAATGAACAATAACACTCCAAGTGCCTCAGGCAGACATGATGGCACATAGAAGTGATCTTGGTAGTCAGAAGGCTGTGGAGAATCTTCAGGACAATTTCAAATTCAAGGCCAGTTTGGGTGTCTCTAGCTAATCTGGAACTCAATTTGTAGACCAGGCTAGCCTCAAACTTATAGAGATCTGCCTGCCTCTCCTTCCCACCTGGGTGCTAGGATAAAAGGTGTGTGCTACCATGCCTGGGCTTTTTTAAAATTTATTTTATTTTAAGATTTATTTATTTATTTTGTATACAGCATATATGACTGCAGGCCAGAAGAGGGCACCAGATCTCATTATGGATGGTTGTGAGCCACCATGTGGTTGCTGGGAATTGAACTCAGGTCCTCTGGAAGAGCAGTCAGTGCTCTTAACCTCTGAGCCATCTCTCCAGCCCCTATTTTATTTTATTTTTAAAATAGGGATTCTTGTGCCTCAGGCTGGCCGTGAATTTTAGATTTTGCCACCTCAGCTTCACAAGTTCGGATGTAGAGGCATACACCAGCATGGGCTGGGGCATACTTGAGCTAAAAAAATCTAAATTGAGCATGGTGCCTCATACCTTTAATACTAGAACTGGGGAGGCACAGGCAGGCTGACCTCTGTGAGTTTGAGGCCAGCCTGGTCTACACTATAAGTTCTGGGTCCAGAAAAGAGTATACACAGTGAGATCCCATCTCAAAAATCATTTGCTACTTTCTTTAAAAGTAAAAATAAATAATAAATAAATTCCTCGCCAAAAAAAGTTAAAAAAAAAAAGCATTTTCCTACTTTTCTGGACCTAGCATCTTATATTTTACTAAGCAACCCTACCCACTCCCAGTCCTCAATCTGCCCCCTCCTGATATATTGTGCACCCCAATAAACTTATCTGGGGACAGAGCCACTAGATAGACATAGAAGCCAGGCATGGTGGCACTCACACCTTTAATCCCAGGACTTGAGATCTCATGTCTTGCTTGGGAAAGACACATGCCTTTAATCCCAGGAAGTGGTGGCAGGAAGCAGAAAGGTATATAAGGCGTGAGGACCAGGAACTTGAGGTCTTTTTAAACTTTAAGGCTTTTGAGCAGCAGTTCAGCTGAGATCCATTTGGGTGAGGACTCAAAGGCTTCCAGTTTGAGGAAACAAGATCAACTGAGAAGTTGGCGAGGTGAGGTTGGATGTAGCTTGTTCTGTTTCTCTGATTTTTCTGTTCACCCCAATACCTGGCTCCAAGTTTTTTTGTTTTTGTTTTTGTTTTTGTTTTGTTTTTCGAGACAGGGTTTCTCTGTGTAGCTTTGCGCCTTTTCCTGGAACTCAAAAGTTTTTTTTTTTTTTTTTTTTTTTTAATAAGACCATCCAGTGTAGGGTGATGGTGGCACACGCCTTTAATCCCAGCACTTGGGAGGCAGAGGCAGGTGGATCTCTGTGAGTTTGAGGCCAGCCTGGTCTACAGAGTGAGATCCAGGAAAGGCGCAAAGCTACACAGAGAAACCCTGTCTCGAAAAAACAAAACAAAACAAAAAAGACCATCTAGCGATTCGCGTTACATCCTCCTGTTTACCTCACTAGCCCTTCCCTTCCTGCAGTGTGTACTTTTTATTCTCATTTGACTAAAATTGTACTTCAGAAGTCCTTAGGGGCTAGGGTATGACTCAGTAGTAGCCGGTGTACAGCATTGGCTGTAGGACCCTGGTCTTGCTGAGTACCTGGCCCTGGGCCACACTAGCCTGGCACACAGCAACCTAAGCCATTAGGGCCTGTCAGGTGATCTGAGTGGGAGGCCGAAGCATGCCACTCTGAAGGCAGGCCCTGGTGACAGGGACCAGTTACTAGGCTATGTGGTAAATTCTGAGAGTCAATACTTTGAACCACGTCCTGGCTCTGGACATTGCACTCCGGGTTCTGAAAACTAGGCCCAGGGCAGAGGTCACAGACCTCAGGTCTTTTGACCCTAGAGGGTACTAGGCTTGGTGGCAGTCCTGAGCTTGCTGTCACTTGCTTGAGGACCTACCCAGTTCCCAAACAGCTGTCCTACCCTCCCCAAATAGCTGTTTGTAACAGCTATTGAACTAGCCTAGAGGAGAAATTTAGGGAGCTTGGCAGGAGGGGGTCAATGGGGAGGGCACAGAGGGTCGGACACACAGACTTAGTCCTTGGTCCTGGGGTCATGAGCCTGGCTAGAGCTCCAAGCCTCTCAGGGGGCCCTCACAGTTAGGGAAAGATGGGGTGGGTGGGAAGAGTGGAGACCTTCCAGGTTCCCTGTCTTTTCATCCACCCCCTTGGCCTGCCTCGTGGCTCAGCTCCCCTGCAGAGGTAGCTGGAGTTCCTGTGGGTGAGGAGTACACATGTGCAAGGCTTGGGCTGGACTCAGAACATAAGGATCCTACCAGAACAGATGGCAAGATGCAGAATGAGGAACAGAGACCAGATAAACAGAGGGACAAACAGGGACATCACCAAAGAGACGACCACAGGAGTCGGTCAGAGGCTAAATAAGAGTTGGGTGCTCACTTCGGCAGCACAGATACTAAAACTGGAACGACGCAGAGAAGATTACCATGGCCCCTGCGCAAGGATAACATGCAAATTGGTGAAGCGTTTTTAAAAAAAAAAAAAGCCGGGTGGTGGTGGCACACGCCTTTAATCCCAGCACTCGGAGGCAGAGGCAGGCGGATCTCTGTGAGTTCAAGGCCAGCCTGGGCTACAGAGTGAGTTCCAGGAAAGGTGCAAAGATACACAGAGAAACCCTGTCTCAAAAAACAAAAAACAGGGGTTGGGGATTTAGCTCAGTGGTAGAGCGCTTGCCCAGCAAGCACAAGGCCCTGGGTTCAATCCTCAGCTAAAAAATAAAAAAAAATAAGAGTTGGAAGGCCAGCCAGGCAATGGTGGAGCACACCTTTAATCCCAGCACTCAGGAGGCAGAGGCAGGTGGATTTTTGTGAGTTCGAGACCAGCCTGGTCTACAGAGCTAGTTCCTGGCTGGGCTACACAGAGAAAGCCTGTCTTGAAAAACAAACAAAACCCCAAATTTTTTTTTCTTCTTTCTTTCCAGGACAGGTACACACCACCACTGCCGGGCCAAGTGCCTATTTTCATTCCATCTAGAAAGGATAGCAGTGTGTTCTGTGAGGTACTGGGACATGCTCTTTGAGAGGAGAAAGATGAGCCCTGGGGGGTGTGTGTGTGTACAAGGTACTAATAGCAACAAGCACACATTTAGTTTGTTGGCTTGGTTTTTTGAGACAAAGTATGTAGCCCTGGCTGGCTTAGACTTTACTATGCTTATCAAGCTGGCCTTGAACTTAATGCAATCATCTTGCCTCTGCCTTTCAAGTGCTGGGGTGTATCTCACCATGCCTTGAAAGCAGTTTGGTCCACAGAATTAGATGTAAGAAACGCCTCGTTTCTGGCTGTGGTCACACAGCCTGTAATTCTCAACACTGGGAGCTGGAGGTAAGAGGATGAGACGGTCCTGGTCAGCTTCGGCTGTGTTTTTAGTCTTCTTTAAGCATTCTAAATCAGCTTGTCTGCTGGAAACTGCTCTGCAGGCTGCTGGGAAACTCAGTCCCAGTGAGGTTTGGGGCTCTGCTGGTGGCTGCATACAGATGATGTGGGGGAGGGGTGCTTTCCCGAAGGACGAGGCTTGTAGGATTCTCCAGTTTCCACGGCCAGTGTCAAACTCTCAGGCTGAAGTTACCGAAGGTGGGCTAGGAGAGGTGGACATAGTTCAGGACCTATGTAGGGTTCACACCACCTCCGAGTGAACAACATCAGCAGCTCCGGTAATTCCAGGCTAGTGGTATACACATTATAATCCCTGAGACAGGAAGATCCTGGGTTCAAGGCCAGCCTGGGATATATAAGGAGATCCTGTCAATACAACAATAATTGATGACAGGAAAATCAAGGCGGGCCATTGGGATGGCTCTGGGGAAAGGAGCCCTGCTATTCAAGCCTTACTGCCCGAGTTTGACCCCCAGGACCCACGTGGTGAAAGGAGAGAACTGACTCCTGCACACTGTTCTCTGACCTCCATTCAGGACCTGAGTTCAGTTCCCAGTACCCGTCTTGGAATGGTAACTGGTAACTCCAGCTCCAGGAGATCCAACGCCCTCTTTTGACTTCCACAGGCATGCACACACACACACACACACACACACACACACACACACACACACACACCACAACAAACAGCATAGCAAAACTGTGTCAAAAATAAAACAAAATAAAATAGTAAACTAATTAAGAAGTGATGCACCAAATGTTATTATCTTTGGATATGTGTGTGTGTGTGTGTGTGTGTGTGTGTGTATTAGATTCAAGTGCTCTGTCTGCATGTACACCTTTATTCCAGAAGAGGGCACCAGATCTCATTACAGATGGTTGTGAGGCACCATGTGGTTGCTGAAAATTGAACCCAGGACCTCTGGAAGAGCAGCCAGTGCTCTTAACTGCTGAGCTATCTCCCCAGCCCCCTTTTGATATATTTTAATTAAGATTATTAGTTGATTTTTTTTGGTTCGTTGGTTATTTTGTTGTTGTGTTTTGCTTTGTTTTGTTTTGTTTTGAGACAGGGTTTCTTTTCTTTGTGTAATAGCCCTGGCTGTCCTGTAACTCAATCTGTAGACCAGGCTGGCCTCAAACTCAGAGATTTGACTGCCTCTGCCTCCTGAGTGCTGGGATTAAAGGCGTGCGCCACCACCGCCCAGCATGATTATAAGTTTATAATTTATTTACAGGTTTTGGTGTCAGATCTGAGTTTCTATCCATAGCCTTCTTCTCTCCTCATCCTTCTCCTTCCCGTTAGAAATTGAACAAAGCACCTCAAGCATGGCAGACAAGGGCTCCACCAGAGAACGCCCCATCCTCCCTTGACTGCTCTCTGTGTGGCTTCAGAAAGTGACTTTCTTCCTCGTCCTCGTCCTCCTCTTCCTCCTCCTCCTTCTTTTTGGTTTTTCCAGACAGGGTTTCTCTGTGTAGCCCTGGCTGTCCTGGCACTCACTCTGTAGACCAGGCTGGCCTCGAACTCACAGAGATCTGCCTGCTTCTGCCTCCTGGGTTAAAGGCCTGTGTCAACACCGTCCAGCGATCTCAGGCCATCTTTAGCCCCCATTCCTTGCTTACTTCTATGTCTGACCTAATATCCCGTGACTAGCAGATAAAACCTTTAGAAATGTACTAACCTAACAAAGTCTTTCCTTTCACTTATTAAAAGGCTAATAGTGTTAGAAAATAGCACCCGGGGACCTAGAGCCAATATGTCCCCATTTTTCTGTAACTGCCTACATAATATTTCCACCAATGTATTTGAAAAGTCTCTTGATTTGTGACTTTCTTTTGTGTTACTATAAAAACTTCAAACTGTTACCATGTTGGAACATAGAATTCAGGGTGATCTAAATCTTTTCCCTGTCCATGGTCATTTGTATTTGATTCCAGAATAAATAATAGCCATCCCCGTTGAAGAGAGAGCCGTTTCTTTCTCTGACAACGATGCAATGCCTCTATTGTTCAAGGATAGAGACAGTGACCAAGACAGCCAGATTCACGTTGGTTTTCTCAGATGGGTGTACTTAACTTCATACACACACACATACACACACACACACACACACACACACACACACACACACACACACACACCCCAATCTGGAAGCCCTGTGGCTCTGGAATAATCTAGCTCTGAGTCTCTTGGAGTCTGGCCTTAGCAAACAATAGTGCCTAGCTGGTAGAAGTCTTCTGTTGCCTAGCAACTTCTGGTTTTGGCCTGGCAACCCCTAAGCCTTCAGCAACCTCAGTCCCTACCCCGAGACAGGAAGGAGGAAACACCCACACCAAGGAGACCAGCATGCAAATTACAAATTAGAGATCACCCCTGAATGCATGTGCTGGCAACTGGCAGACCAGGCTCTGAACCAAGAAAATAGCTGAGGAGAGGAGAGACACTGGCCCTTAGACCTCAAGAAAGACTTCCTGGCCTACCTGGAGGGAAACCAAGCACAGCACATTGAGGTAAATAAGGAGTCCTGCTCTAGGCTACCCAAGTGACCGCCTCCTCTGAGCTCCTGTAATTTCCCATACTTCTTAACTGCTTTACAGTAAAGTCACTTGAGTAACTGGGGGCCAGGGTCTTGCACAGCAGTTGTTTGTTTGTTTTTTAAGATACGGTTTCCTTTTTTCCAAAACAGGGTTTCTCTGTGTAGTTTTGGAGCCTGTCCTGAAACTCACTCTGTAGACCAGGCTGGCCTTGGATCCTCCTGCCTCTGCCTCGAGTGCTGGGATTAAAGGCGTGCACCACCCACCACCACCACCACCACCACCACCACCACCACCACCACCACCACCACCACCGCCGCCTGGCCATTTATTTATTTTTGAGACAAGGTCTTACTATACAGTCCTGGCTGGCCTGGAAATCACTATGTAGGTTAGGCTAACCTCAAACCTGCTATAACCCTCCTCCTACCTCAGTTTCTTTTCTTTTTTTTTTTCCTCTTTTTTTTTTTTGGGGGGGGGGGACAGTGTTTCTCTGTGTAGCCCTGGCTGTCCTGAGATTCTCTGTAGACCAGGCTTGGCCTTGAACTCACAGATCCCCCTGCCTCTGCCTCCTGAGTGTTAAGATTTAAAGGTGTGGGCCACCACCACCTGGCTGGAAAGTCCTTCTTTAAAAAAATTACTTTTAAACTTTATTTTTAAAAAGTTGACCCTTTTTTCTCTGAGCATCTCACATAAGGCCTGGCTGTGCTGATCTATTTTATGTTAACTTGACATAAGCCGGAGTCATTTGGGAAGAGGAAACCTCACTGGAACAAGTCCCCAGCAGACTGTCCTGTGGTACATTGCTGACTGATGGGGGAGGGCCCAGCTCACTGAGGGTAATACTGCCCCTGGTCAAGCTGTCTGGGAGTTATCAGAAAGCAGGATGAGAGAGCCACTAGGAGCGAGTCAGTAAGCAGCACCCTCCATGACTGTGCTTCAGCTCCTGCCTCCTCATCTCTGTACTGCTTGAGTTCCGATGTTGACTTCCTCACTGATGGAGTGTAACAGGAGTTATAAGTGGAAACAAACCCTTTCCTCCCCAAGTTCGGTTGTGGCCTTTATCACAGCAATAGAAACCCCAAGACACTAGCCCATGACACTTGTTTAAGAAATGAATGGAGCTGGGTGACAAGGTGCAACCTTGTAATCCCATCACTCAGGTGGTCAGGTGAATTCCTTTTTTGTCTGTTTGTTTTTGTTTTTTGAGACAGGGTTTCTCTCTGTAGAACAGGCTGGCCTCAAACTCAGAGGTGGCCACCGCCACCGCCACCACCACCTGGAGGTCGGGTGAATTCTACTTCCAGGTCAGCCTGGACTACATAGTAAGACTGTCTTCATTTTTATTTTATTTTAAGACAGGGTCTTTTGTAGCCCAGGCTTCTCAAACTCACTTTGCAGCTGAGGATGACCTTGAGTTTCTTCTGATCTCCCTGCCCCTAACTCTACCTCCAGAGTGTGTACCACCATGCCCAGGTTATGAGGTACTACACAGAGCTTTGTGCATGCTACCTAGGCACTCTACCAACTGAGCTACATCCCTATCCCTGAGACTCCACCTTTAAAGGAGAGGTGGGGCTAGTGAGAGGGCTCAGTGGTTGAGACCACTGGCTACTATTCCAGAGAACAAAGTTGTAAGTCCCAGTTCTAGGGAATCTCATTCTCTCTTGTGACATCCCCAGGCACTGCAACCCCATGGGGCTCAGACATTCATACACGGTGGAGGCAAAAACACCCAAATACATAAAATAAACGTAATTTAAAAAATTGAAGAGAAGGGTGGGTAGTGAGATGCCTTAGTGGGTAAAGGTGCTTTCTGAGACTGGTTACCTCTGGGAAAGGTCATGACTACCAGAGTTACAGAGAGCTTTATTTAGAAGGAATGAGGGGATAGGAGAGAGGAGAGCCAGGCCTGGAGAGAGAGGTGGCGGGAGCAGAGCAGAGCAGGAACAGAGAGAAAGAACAAAAAAGAGGGTGGGGGTCCGCATCCGGCTTTTTAAGGTGCAGACTGACCACACTGTGCATACATAGCCACACCATGTGTTTGTCGCCAGTGCCCGCTGATGACGTAAGACACAAGACCCTGAGCTGTGCATGTGCAGGAGTGAGGGCCGGATCCTAACATTCCAGGCTTTTTGCTTATTATAAAAAAGCGAGTGAATAGGAATAGAGGTGTCCTTTCTCCTGGAAAAACTGCTTCCAGCTGACTTGGTGGGCGTTGGTTGGCTCTTAGGGGGGTAGGGAAGGGGGCCTTCCAAGGTAGACAGGCGTGCTGGGACGGTGGGCTGCTCTGCTGCCCTGGAATCATCCATCCCTCTTGGCTGGGCACTCTGGCTGCTTTTGTGTCTGACAGGATGCTGGTGAGACAGAGAAAGCCTGAAGTAGATCCAACCTGTCCAGGTGGATTTAAGCTGGTTTTTGGATCTTGGGAAAAAATTTAAACATGTTAAGGAAGAGCCATGAGAAAATCAGTGACCACTGTACTCTGCTTATATTGGTTAGTGTTAATGAGAGATGGAGAGATTGGAACATGTTTTTTTTTTTTTTTTTTTTTTTTTTTGGTTTTTCGAGACAGGGTTTCTCTGCGTAGCTTTGCGCCTTTCCTGGAGCTCACTTGGTAGCCCAGGCTGGCCTCGAACTCACAGAGATCCGCCTGGCTCTGCCTCCCAAGTGCTGGGATTAAAGGCGTGCGCCACCACCGCCCGGCTGGAACATGTTTTTAAGCTTTATCAGAGACAGATTGTTTAAGGCACCTGTTTCCTTTACTAGTTTAGCATCCAGGAGACAGGTGATCAATTGTTGAGAGCATTTAACAGTAATAGATGGTTATATTAAAGTCTGTTTTTGCAGAGCCCAGACACTTTTGGGTCTGGGGGTGTAAATACCTTTTAGCTGTTACAGTTTCTTACTTGATGATCCCTGGATGAACTCTAGTTCTGTGGTGGTCCGAAGCAGCCATTAGTTGATCAGTTAATTAGAAGAGGGAACTGGGAAGAGAAAAGTTTGTGGTGCATGAGAACTTATTTCTTTGGATTTAGGGACAAGGCACAGATCAGGGCACTGTCTGTGTCCTTGCACAGAGTAGGAGAAGCACTTCTGACAGGTCTGCAGTGAGGCACATGGAAGAAGCAATGAAATGAAAGCTCCTACCTTAGCTGGAAAATCTTTTCCCATTAAGGAACCCTGAAAGTACAATTAAATCTGTGAGGTGGGTAAGGCTGTCCTCCCTACCCCAACAATAGGGAAAGGAAGAGAGGTGAGACCCCAAAACTGAGTAAGTGGCTCTGGTGTCCAGAAGGAAAGAAATGGATTGCTTCCATGCTGCATTCTGGGTTCCCTGCAAGCAAGCCTGTGGCCAAGCCGAGGTTTGTCCCCATGCCACTTGAGGCCTGGGTGCAGTCAGTGAGTGGTTGTCTCTCTAGGTGGCACTTTCAACAAGGCTCAACTGATAGCCTGGCAGGGCATGCACTAGCCCGCGTGGCCTTTTTTTTTGGGACCCAGAGGCTTTTGGGAACCAGTTGGACAGCGTGTGCCAGCACTTGGCAATTCTGTTCTTGGGCTTTTTCATCTCTTCCCTGGTACACTTTAAATGCCACAGATGAAACTTCTGCCTGGGGGGTCAGGAGTCTTTCTCTCCAGATGTTTAAGTTTTAGCCCTGATGTCAGGGAGACAAGAGATGGATTTTACTCCGTGTCTTGAATTTTTTTTTGATGTCTGCTGGCTTGGGGACAGCTTAAGGAAGACCCACCAGGAGGCAGGCTATAAACTGATCTCTGGCTAAAGAGACATCCTGATTATTGTAAACGTATTTGCATGGATCCTAGCCCGTCTGTGTTTCTCAGGGCAGCTTGAGAATGAGTGGGAGGAGTTAAGGTGAGTTAAAGCCCGCCCAATTCTGGAGAGCAGAAAGCGGAAGCCAGATAGACAGTAGTGGTTGCACACGGCAGAGAAATAATCAGAGATGGAGAAGGAGAAGGGTTCAGAGCTTCTGTAGAAAGCTTGGGGATAAGGTAACTTTTTTCGTTTGCCTGTTTGCTAGCAGAAGTTAGATAATCCCCTTGAAGCCATTATGTGGCCAGATTTACTGGTATTAGCCCCTATGTCCTATGGCTGCAGTGCTGAGTGAGAAAAATAAAAAATTAAAATAACTAACGGGATCCCAGGCTCCTATTTCAAATATCCTTGAGAATAGGCAGTCTGTGAACTGGCATTAACAGCACAAATTACCTGAACTGTTGTCATGATAAGGGTGAGGGCTGGGGCCCCAGGGGATGCCCCCAGGGGCCCGGACAGCATCCTATATTTCCTCAAGATAGATGTGTCGTGGTATGTAGCAGAGGAACGCCCGGGGGTCCGGTACAAGGAATATAGCTCAGGCTGCAGTCTCGGGAAATGGCAGGGGACTCACCAATCTCAGCAGCACATGTGACAGCGGTGGCAGCTGGGCAAATGCGTCTCATAGCAGGCAGTTGCAGGTCCTCGGTATAGGTTTCCAACAACACTCAGCCCCGGATGCTGAGTGAGCAGAATCTCCTATCCGAGTCCACGGCACCAATGAAAGGATGAACAGAGCTGGTGGTGGCACTGGTTACGGCGGGGAAAGGTCATGAGCCACAGCCACGACTACAGAGTTACAGAGAGCTTTATTAGAGGAAGGAAGGGATAGGAGAGAGAAGAGCCAGGCCTGGGGAGAGAGAAAGGTGGCGAAGCAGAGCAGGAACAGAGACAGAGTAGAGAACAAAAAGAGGGTAGGGGTCTGTGTCCGGCTTTTTAAGGTACAGATTGTGACCACGTCACGCATACTAGTCACCAGTGCCCACTGATGACTTAAGACGAAAGATCCCAAGCTGCGCATGTGCAGGAGTGAGGGCAGGATCCTAACACTTTCTGCCAAGTTGATGACCTGAGTTTGATCCCTGGAACCATGTGACGGAAGGAGAGCGCTGTGGAACAATCCTCTTCTACATTATGAATAGGTATTATTCTCATTGGTTAATAAAAAGCTGACAGGCCAGTGGCTGGGCAGGAAGTCAGGCAGGAAAGCCACATTGAGAATGATGGGAAGGATGAGGATGGAGTCAGAAGAGATGCCAGCCAGCCCCCCCAGGAAGCAACATACTAGAGGACAGGTAAAGCCATGAGCCACGTGCCAATACATAGATTAATAGACATGGGTCAATTTAAATGTAAGAGTTAGCTAGGAACAAGCCTAAGCTATCAGCCAAACATTTATAAGTAATATTAAGTCTCTGTGTGGTAATTTGGAAACAGCTACCAGGATGGGGAGTGGACGCTCAGGACGGAAAACTCCGTCTATCGGAGAGAAGTGACTCTGACTCTCACAGGTTGTCCTGACCTCTAATGTGTGCTGTGATATGGGTGCATTTGCTCCATATATAAATACATGTAAATAAAAGGAGTGCTAACTTTTTCTCTCCCTTGTGGGAAGCACAGAACCTAGTAAAGAATACAGACATAAGAGCTGTGTGGTGGCCCATGCCTTAAACTTGGCAGTCGGGGAGGCAGTTCTCTGAATTCAAGGCTGGCCTGGTCAACAGAGTGAGTTTCAGAACATCAGAGCTACACAGAGAAATCCTGTCTTGAAAAACAAAAACAAAATAACAACCACCAACCAACCAAAGAACGCAAACACACAAATAACTACATCAATTAGAAAATGCTCTATTGGGGGGAAAGAGAGCTCAGTAACAGACTGAGTTTGACATTCCTGTAGGAAACCAGGGTGCATGATGGCTCCCAAACATTTAGAGTGAGTTAAATGGCTCAAAGGACTGAGTGATGTAAAGGCCACATGAACTTACTGATCAGTGGAGGAGGAGAGGGGACTCGATGGAACTGACTGGCTGAGAAGAAAGGGTAAAACCTGGACCATGGGATAGTCTCTGGGCTGGAGAGGAGGCAGATGGCACTCATTTAGTTCATCATTGTGTCTGCAGTATTTTGCCCTGGTCATGGCATGATGTAGACGACTTCCGGAAAACCTGTGAACTGGAAATTAAATTGAAACTGAGTGTCTCAAGAGGTATTACATAGTATGCTGCTGGAAGGAAGTACTCCAGGAGGAGGAAGAGAATGTGAGTTAGGTGGAAAAATACTGCTGAGAACAGAGAGCTTCGGTGTTGACTTGTACTTGACATTTCTCTCATGACAAGCAGATTACACGTGTATATTTTGTTTCCTGTGACCTGGTGTGTGCAAAAATCCATCAAAACTCATCTCTGTTCTCAAAGAGTTCACAGTCTGGTGGGGGACAAACACATGCTTTAGTAATTATACGTGATAGGAATTCCACCACGCTCCCATGATCGCGCATGCCCCGGTGGTACACTTAGTCATTTCTGCCTAGTCATTTCCGGGTCCTACGTCCTACATAAACCATGCGCTGCATGGTCATGTAAACTGCACACAGTGTGACCACATGATCTATGCGCATGTGTTGAGTAGCCATGTGGGCCCATGTGTGCATGGGTGTAGTCTTTAGAAGGCAGATCCCATGTTCTCCTCTTCTCTTGTCTTTCCAACAGGTCTGATCTTACCCTGTTCCTTTTTTCCTTTTCTTAATAAACCTCTTGTTAGTGGGTTTTGTTGTGTCCCATGACTTTTCCTCTCAGGGTAGGAGTGCCGCTAAAACCAACATTTGGTGCCTAGAGAGATAACTGGTCAGCTGACTGCCCTGGTGCACCTCGTGGCTTGGGGACATCAGAAAAAGACCTCCAGCAGACCTCCTAGGCTTGGCCACGGGCTCACAGGGAACCAAGGATGCACCATGGGGCGATCTGTTTCCTTCCTGTTGGACACTGAGCCACTTACTCAGTCCTGAGGGAGTTTTGGGATCCCACCTCTCCTTCTGGTTTCCCTATTGTCGGGGAAGGGGGACAGCCTTACTCGCCTACCAGACCCCACCACTTTTTCAGGGGTACCTAATGGGAAGAGATTTCCCAGTTAAGGTAGGAACTTTCATTTGCCTTGCTCCCTCCATGTGCCTCCCTCCAGACCGGTCAGCGGCACTTCTCCTCCTCATGCACAGTGACACACAGACAGGGCCCTGCTCTCTCTCAAGTTCCAGAGGACATCAGGATCCACTGCCTTGTCCCAATTCCAGAAAAATGAGGTCTCACCCCACAAGCTTTTCTCTTCTTGGTTCCCTCTTCTAATTAACTACTCAGCTGTTACAGGATCACCCTAGAGCTGGAGTCCAAGGACCAGCAAGTATATACCCGCTCATCCACCACCTTTTATAAAAACCAACAGTATGCAGAGATTGGAGTAGCTAGTAAATGCACTTCAGAAAAGGCAACATTTGAACTGTTACATGTACAGTGTTCGCTTGGGCAGCAACTGCAGAGGAAACCAGCCTGCTGTAAAACCCAGATCAAACTGGTAGGCAAGATTATGAGAAACAGCTTGGTGGCTAACATCTGAGATCTCAGAAATCAGGAAGCTGAGATAGGAAAGGCTGCCTCAGGTTTAGTGATTTCCAGGATAGACTGGGATATAGAAGAAGATTCTAAAAATAAAAGTTAAAACGGGGTGGCACATGTTTTTAATTCCAGCCCTCGGGAGGCAGAGGCAGGTGGATCTCGGAGTTCAAGGCCATCCTGGTCTACAGAGTGAATTCCAGGACAACCAAGGCTACACAAAGAAACCCTGTCTCGAAAAACAAAACAAAACAAAAATAATCTGAGAGGTTTGTTTGAAACGCACATTCCAGGGGTTCACTTTCCAAGACATTTGTGGTTCAACAGGTACTAACACACTTCCTGGGCTCATGATCTCCTCTCTGGGCCAAACCAGGTGGTGGTTGCACATGCCTTTAATTCCAGCATTGGAACCAGAAGCAGGCAGATTTCTTTTGAGTTCGAGGTGAGCCTGGTTTACAGGGCTAGTTCCAGGCCACCCGGGGCTACACAGAGAAACCCTGCCTTTGAAACAACAAAAAAAAGAAGCCCTCTGGGCTCACACTGTCATGAAACGGGATGGGAGGCGCCTGCTGGGGAGAGCGCTGTGCATCCGGGCTTCTGGGTCCCCCGAGGTCACATTATCAAAACAAGAACTCTTTCTTCCATTTTCCGTTGTGCTTAAGGGATTCCTGGTGCTCCTTAAGTGCCTCCCAACAACTTTGTGAGTTGCAAATTACGAACCTCGCTTTATATATAAACGATTTGCTCAAGGTCACAAAGCGGGAGGAGGGCATGGCGGAGAATGGAAACCAAGCCGCCGGGCGGCCGCCAGCCTGGAGAAGTTCCGAGGACGCAGGAAGGCGGGCGAGTGGGTGGGGCTCAGGGCCTCCTTCAGCCTCCGGAGAAGCCGCTCCAAAATGGTGGGGGCGGCGTCGTCGTCAGCTACGCCCCCGCCCCTTCCGTCCACCTCCCTCCTTCTTCCTCAGGCCACCCAGGCCGGGGGGGAGGGGAGGGGACGCAACGCAGCCGCCCACGTGACCGTCGATCAGCGGGCGCGTGACGCAAGGCGGCGGGCCCAACGTTCGCTTGGCTTTGTGGGAAATAGAGTTCGAGAGGCCGTCCGGTGGGTCAGGAGAGGTGACTCTCGGACTACATTTCCCAGAAGGCAGAGGACCGAGGCGGTAGCCGTCGTCGTCGGAGAGCGGGGACGCGGGGCGCGCTGTCGGGCGGGGGTGAGGTTCGGGCCGGTTGTGCCGTTGCGAGACTGCTGCTGTAGTCGCTTCGGCGGGTCCAGGTGAGTGGACGTAGCCGATGGGAGTTAGGGCATCTCGACTGGTGTGTGTGTTGTTGGGTTTTTTCTCTCTTCTCCGCGGCGGCTGGTCCCCGGCGAGGGTGAGGCCTAGCGTGCGGCGGCTCCCCCGCGCTCTGCTAGGGCCTGCTCCGAGCGGGCCTGCTGGCTCGGCTCCTCCCCCTCCCCGCCCTTCATCGCTTCCCTCCGCTCCGGCCTAGTTCGCCAGGCCCCGGCCGTCTGCTCCCTGGAGCCGCTCGCAAACTTCTTTGCACTCGGCGGGACGGTCGCCTTCCACCGACCCACCTTCCCCCCTCCCCTGGCCGGACGAACCCCATTATTTGAATTGTTTTTTTTTCCGGGAACTCTTAAACGCCCTTCCCCCACCGGGTCTCGATTGGCCTGATTCTGGCTTCTAGGGCGCATGTGGCCCTAGAATACACTAAATATTAATGTTTCCGCTTCTTGTTTTGTTTTTCCCTCCCCTCCTGCCTTCTGGCCCAGAGGCGTAATCCAAATTTATTTCCTGTCGGAAAAAGATTGTTCCCACTTTTTTTCCGTGGGTTGCAAGTGAGGCTGACTTGCATTCCAGTGGTAATTGGCTTGTGTCCTGCTTATGAGAAGCAGTTGTCTTCCACACTTAAGCAGCTTTTCTCTCTTTTCTTTGCCCTTCTGGATCTTAACGGGTGGAGCATGGCGGCCGTAGTTGGCGGCAACACTGGTGGCCCAGAAGTTGGAAGCCATCAGTGTGTGTACAGTGTTAACGGGGTGGGGGGATGGGGGGGGTGTTAAATGCCTTGAAGGAAAAACTGCTGGGAATATGGCAAGGCCGTAGTAGGAGAGAGCCAATAAAGTCGGCTTTACCAGCTTTTGATTTTAAATTTCGGTTTTCACTTCCAGGTACTTATTTTTTTCTTTTTCTAAAATGGCAGCGCGCAGCACTGGCAACGGTAGTGGGTTTTTGTAACATTTTTCAGTGAGATTAACTGAAGATCGCTTCGTCTTTGTTACCCGTGTACAGTTTTCCTGAGTGGAAAGGCATACTGTCGTTTTTCAGATCTTTCCTAGTTTTGTTTGTGGAACTACTGTCGTAGTCGGTCCCGGTCGACATCATGATGTGTATATTCTGTATAACTCTTTGTTAAAGATGGGTGGTGCCTTGAAACTTGTGGAAAAAGGCTTAGTCCTTTGTTTGCAGACGTGTGTCCTGAACTTAAGTGACTGAACTTAGTACTCTTAGTACTTAAGTGACATAAGGTGGGGGGAGAATGCAGTGGTGGCGCTCGCCTTTAATCCCAGCACTCGGGAGGCAGAGGCAGGCTGATCTCGGGATCTCGGTGAGTTCGAGGTCAACCTGGTCTACAGAGTGAGTTTGAGGACAGCCAGGACTCCACAGAGAAACACCGTCCTGAAAAACAAAACAAAACAAAACAAAAAAAGCCGGGCCGTGGTGGCGCAAGCCTTTAATTCCAGCACTCGGGAAGCAAAGGCAGGTGGATCTCTGTGAGTTCGAGGCCAGCCTGGACTACAGAGCGAGATCCAGGAAAGGCGCAAAGCTACACAGAGAAACCATGTCTCGAAAAAC